TCGGAGCTGGCGGGGTGCGGGGTTTGCTCCTCGCCTGGTTCGAGAGCAGCTCTGAGGGGAGTGAGGGCGGGTTTGGAAAATCCTGTTTTCTTTCCGTCTAGCGTTTTTGGGGGGTTGTTTTGGTTTTGCGTAGAGGGGTGGTGTTGACACGTCCAATACCTGTCTTTATTGCTAAGAAATGCTCTGGCAAATGCTTCGAAAGGGCTGGTAGCTGGAGCAGCCCCTGGGTGATGTGTCTGAGACAGCGCAGCTCTAGCAGTCCTAGAGGCTCTTTGGTGTCTCCTTAACTCACCTGAGCTGTGTTGTAGCACCGTAAAGATAACCAAAAGACGGAGGAAATGAGCAGAAAACCCCTGGGTTTTGCCACACGAGCTTTCACTGTGCAAAGCAAGGAAAACACGCTGGCCTGGCACCTTCTGCAGCTTGTGGGAGTGTTGTCACATCTGAAATAAAGAAAGCCAAACCCATAAATAAGGGCAAGGGAGCTTCATGTGATGGAGCTTCTCTGCTGAGAAATAGGGGCTGTCTGGAAGCCAACTAGGACAGATGCTGGAGTGGAACTAATCGGGGAGAGCAAAGCAAGCTTAGGAAAATGTATTGCTTTGGCCTCTGGTTTTTTATTTACATCTTAATGCTGCTGCCAGCTCCACCAGCATTAAAATCTCGGTTTATATTGTAAAACAAGGAAAAGGAAAGCAAAATAACTGATCTTTAAAGAGCTGAGGTGGAGGTAATAGAGATAAACAGAAAAATCAATGTTATCAGCAACACAGAAACCAATTTTCAAATGTGTGTGTTTAGTTAGCCAAGCAGTCTGAATCTTGTAGCAGTGTAAGTTACTAGCTTACCTACAGAAAAAGAGGAGATAAAACATAAGGAAGCAGTATCAAAGTATTTGAGTAACGTGCACGTTAGATAACTACCTGAAAGTCATACTCTATGGCTGCATGACTTCTAAGAATAAAAATGTAAAAAATAATGTAGTGACTTGATTTTTGATTTTTTTTTTAATCTAAATGTTGAATTTAACATCATTTCTATGCTGTGCCATTTTTCTGGCATACCTATGGGCTTCTGCTCATGTGTGCAGGTGTTGCCAGTCTAGCTCCCATCCCTTGGGGCCAGCCTACTGATTTTAAGACTTTTCAAGATAACTTTGTTAGGAATACTCCTTTTGTCCTGTAGCACCATCTCAATTGGGTATCAAACAGGCGTTTATCAAACCATGTCTGTGTGTGTTTGCTGAGGGCTGCCTTTGTCTCTCCTTTCCCTGCTGCTCTGAAGTGGGTTGGTTGCAGTGGAAGAGCCTCCAAGTGAAAGGTCCCCAGGAAGGGGGTGAGCCTGGGGTGGATTCTGCTGAGGGTGAATGAATGAAGGGACAGTTCTCTCAAGCACTAACTTTCTCAAACCCTTGGGCATTTTTGCCAAGAACAGGTCTGCCATAACCTGGAGCAAACACTGAGCTGTTTACTGGGTTTTGTAGTTTCTCCTTGCTAGTTGCCTGCCAATAAAGCCACTTGTGCACTTGTGCTTGACCTTGCCGAGCTGCTTTTAATTGCTTGCTCAGCTTCCTATTTTCCTGAAAGCATTAAGAGGGAAAAGCCTGTGTATCTGAGATCTGTACTTGCAGCTTTACACAGAGCAGAGTCTTCTGGAAGCAGTTAGGGATATGTTGGTAATTCTACATCCAAGTGTCAGGTGCCCTCAGACAAAAGCAGAGGTAATCCCAGAGTGCTGCCTGTTGTTCTTTCAGCAATACTGGCTGATTGCCTGCTGAGTGTACCTGCTTGGAGCTTTTCAAAGTGTTTTGTATTCTTAAGAAGGCACCTTGCATTTTTCCTGATAGCTCTTAGTCCTTACTGGTGAAATATTCTCAGTGATTGATCTTTGGTTATGCCACCATAAAAGAAAAATGTGATTTTGTTTGTAGTTGAAAATGTAGTGGAAGAAGCAGGAAGTATGTGTGATTTGTAATGCTGTAGCTTCTCTGGAAGCATTCTGTGCTAAATAAAGGTATTTGTGTGTATACTTTAGCTTTTTCCTTCTCAAACCTTACTAAGAATACAAACTTACACAGTTGGGTGTTTAATAGTCTTGCACATCTGGGTATTGGGTGACCAGACCACAGTATTCTGCAAATAATCCATTCCTGACAGCTTCCAGAAGCTGCCTTGGATTTTATCTTTATTAACTCCTATTTTGTTTTTCTGGAAAGACCTACAGTGACTTTGGTAACTTAGTTTTTACGTGGAAGTGTTGTGGCTATTGCTGATCATCCAAAGTTTGTGTTCCTGAATCAGCCTCACTAGTCATGGTTTGTTTTATGTGGCATGGGGTGTTGAATGTGAAGGAACTTTGAATGTTCACAGCAATATTTGTTTGCTATGTTATCACTTCATACTGATTTTTTTTTGTCCACAGCCATGAACGGTTGTGTTGAAGTCAGTGTTTAGTTACCATAACAGACTTATATCTTGTCTCTAAGACAAAAAGGATCTCTAGATCTGTTTTACATCAGCTCTCCAGCCAGGGAGATGACAAGTGTTGAAAGCCAACATGAAAGAGGGCGAGTTATTAGAAGGATCAAAGGAATTTTTACTTCCTGACCCCAAAGTTTCTGCCCTTTTTTGAGCAATGCTGCGATCACAGTGTGCACTGGAAAACTCGTGTGCCCTGCAGCCAGCCAGCAGCCTGGGCAGGGCACAGCCAGCCTGGCTGCTCCCCGTGGCACTGAGTGTGTGCTGGCAAGAGCTCTCTCCACTCTGTGGGCTGACAGGAACCTGCAGCAAAGAGCTCATCTCTAGACATTAGCCACAGAATCAGTGGGTTTGGGCTCAGAGCAAACATGTGCTTTCTAACACCTGCTGTTTACCTGAGCAAAGTCTTTGAACACTAAATACAGTTCTCCAAGGTACAAAACTAATTACTTGTCCCGTTATGTGTGTCTCCCTACCTGACAATCCCTGTGTGTAGCCACAGCTCCCTTCTGTTTTGTGACTTCTGCCACACGTGCTTAATGCCATGGCCCTATAGAAGACTCTCTAGAACCTCTGCTCCCTTGTTTGGAGAACCAGTGCTTCTTGATATCCTTTGAAATTGTTGCATGTTGTGGACAAGTGGGGAGAGGTTAAGCATAAATTACTCAGTTTTAATTCCTTCCTTTACTTTATAAATAAATCAGCCAAATAAGACACATTAATTATTAGTCACGTAGTGCTATCAACATACTGACTATAGGATTTAAACCAACTACATAGAATTTAACTACACAGAAACACTCAAATGCCAGGGCTTTGTCTATGAAAAGTGTGCTCACTCTGGAAATCATGGAGTGGTGGCTAAGAACTCAGTTTGAGTCGAAAAATCCACCGTGCTGTTAAATTATGCCCTTTCACAGCAAAACACTAATAATCCAGATCAAGTGCTGTCAAATTGCTTTAAAAATGAGAGTTGCTGGCCTCGAGAAAATCAGGGAGAAAGCCAAGTCTGTCATTAAACTTGACTAATCTTCTGTAACAAAACATTTGTATGTCTATTTTACATTGACTCTTATCATGTTTGTTAATCGATTTATTCATTCTATCAAAATATACACTGACTACTATGAATATTGCAGCAGACTTGTGAAATCAGCTATGAAAAGAAATACCCTTAGCAGGGTTTATTTGCTGTAAACACCAATACTGACTAAAAGTAATGTTTGTGAATACTTTGTAGAGTAAGATGGTGTTAGCAGACTTCCAGAAAGAAAGAAGAAGAGTAGTTAAAAGATATTTGCTTTTAGGACACTGCTGGGGGTTGTATCTTCTCAAAAACTTTCAAACTAGATGTTGAATGTCAGTTGTAGTTCCTCATCATTTACTGAATAAAAACACTGGGTGCAATAGTTTATTGCTCTGTGTCTACAAATACAAATTCTATTCACTGTTCTGATCTTCTGTATTTATTTTCAACAGCTGAAAAGAAATATGCCAGCATATTTGGCTCCTTGGAGGGCTTCTCCATGTGTCTTTAGATCCTCCAGGTCAGAACTCAAGCCAAATCTCAGCAGTGATGCTGTTGTCTGTGCTCCACTTCAGACATTCACCGAAGAGGAGACAATGCTGAAAAACATGGGTACCTTTTATCTCTGTGGTTAAAATTCAGAAATGTCTAACTAGAAGAGAAACTTTCCCTTAAAAAGTTCATTATTTAATTCTAGTTAAATGTTGAGATTCTTGTGTGGAATTGTGCCTAATTTTAAAACTGCTTTAGTTCACAAAAGAAAAAAATGTGTTGTTCTTCTTCCGTGTTACCACAGCACAGCTCCACATACCACAGTGCAGTTTACTCTGCATAAATAAATATTAACTGTGTGAAATTGTTGCTGTCACAGAAGTGCAGGTGACTGGCATTGACTCGTGCCCTTTCCAAAGTGTTTAGTTCAGCCAGAGGTAACTGCTCTGCCTGGTTTTGAGAGACTGTGGATATACCCAGGGTGGTAACACGTGATGTGATAAAGGAGACTGTTCCAGAAGGGATCCTCAGAGCACAGGTAGACAAGGGTGGACCTGCACATTGTGGAGAGAGAGTTTACAAAAGGCTCCAGTTAAACAGGAACCATCTTACAGGATTTTGTGTGCTCAAAACTACATGCATTAAAGCCTGGGAGCACCTCCCCAAACCACAGCTTTAGTTTATAAAGAAATACAATACAGCTAACCAAATAAGGGATGTATTTGAAGTATTTTCTGTATTTCTGGGAGGTCAGCCAGTGTTACATAAGCATTGCTGAGGTGCTTTCAAAGTTTCTGAGTTTATAGGAAGTGTTTGGTTTGGTTGCTCATAAAACAATTCTAGTTGAGCCTGGTGGCACGTCACCTTCTGTCACTTGGGCAACTTTTTGTGCTTTTAAGAACTTACCTGGGAGAGTCAGGGAATACAGGTGTGATGTGCCAGAAGTTCCACATGACTGTCACACTGATCTTCTAGGAGTGTTAGGATACTTACACACTTTCTTTCTTCTCTTTGTTACAGTGACAAAATTTGCTCAGGAGCGAGTTGCACCCTTAGTGCAAAAAATGGATGAGAATTCGGAAATGGACAAGTCTGTAATACAGGGATTGTTTGAACAAGGGGTCTGCACGTCTTTACTTCATCTTTCATGCAGAAAGTGGCATCATTTTATGATTCTCTAACTGTGCACTCTTCAGACTTTTAGATTAAAAGGTTGAGGGATATAATGCAAGTGAAATAATCGTTACAAATTTTGGATTTCTTAACAGCAAGGCAACTTTCTCTTCTTTTTTACTGTACTATCACACTCCCATCTTTTACTGTAATATTCCTTCCATCTCTTCATCTCCCCTACCACATTATTCATCTTACCTTTGAGTTCCTTGTCTTCCTTCCCCCTCCCCTTAATTTTACTTTCTTTAATTGGATAAGCATAATTGTGTGGAATGCTAGAATCAGCATGACCCTGATAAGTGTAGCTGGAAGAGGGTTTCAGAAGTCCTCTGTGTCCTTACTGGCCAACCACAAGGACTTGTGTTGCAGATAACCTCTTGATCATTCCTGGGTTAAATTTTAGCCTTTCCTGATATCAAACCTAAAGATTGTCTGTGTTTAGAATATCATTTTATACAACAACAACTCTAAATATTAGGCTTCTGTTGAGATTGCAATTGTTGTGGAAAATGTAATCAATTTAGGGTGATGATTGGCCTGTATACTGCACACATTTGTGATTTCTTGACTATTAACTCTTGTGAAGAATTGTTAGTTTGCTCAGGGTATTGAAGGAAAACAGGTCTTTGGGGAAGGATCTGGAAATTACCAACATTCTGTGGTTTGCATTTTAATCTCTTAAGTATCAGCATGGACAAACAAGTTGTTGACAAGACCCAACAGGCTGACCTTTTTGCACCTTTTACATTGCAGCTGATGGGTATTGAGCTTGGGGAAGAATATGGGGGAACTGGAGCTTCATTTTTTTCAACCATATTAGTGGTGGAAGAATTGGCCAAAGTTGATGCAGCTGTAGCTCTCCTATGTGAACTCCAAAACACACTAACAAATAAATTGTTTACTACATATGGAACAGAAGAACAAAAGAGAACTTACTTGCCCAGAGTTGCTAGAGATCTGGTGAGTCTAATTCTCACTTTACTAAACTATAATATAATTTTTAATAGTTAACTAATGCTAGTGGGGTGGCTTTTTTCAGTGCCTAAGTGGGTGACTGCAGCATTGGAAGACATGTGTGAAGTTTGAAGCTCTGGTTAGAGCTGAGATCTGTGGTGACACAGATATATGCTGTCATCAGTAGCTGAGAGGTAAAAGTGGAAAGGCACTTACTAGTTTCATTAAAATTTAATTTACTGTGGAAAAGAACTTTAAAGCAGTTGACTTTGAGAGATGTGTAATTACATCCCATTTCTGTTCTCCATATCTGAAACCTCCTTTGATGCAGTAGGTTAAAATGTTTGAGTTTAAGAGACGGGTGCCTGTATATAGCTGTTGTCATTGCAGACTCTGTTAGGGGTTGTGCCTAGATGTTCAGTAAATCTGAAGATGAGTTTTCCCTTCAATTGACAGATTGGCAGTTTCTGTCTTTCGGAGGCTGGCTCTGGCAGTGATGCTTTTTCCTTGAAGACTCGGGCTGAGAAGAAAGGGGACTACTATGTAATCAATGGCTCCAAAATGTGGATCAGCTTAGCAGAACATGCAGGAGTTTTCTTTGTGATGGCAAATACAGATCCATCCTCTGTAAGCTGCTAAAGAATAGTTGCTTTTTGGTGACTGATGATAATATATGAAACTATGGATTTTATATTAATAATCTGATGTTACAGGTTAATGTTCTTTGAACCTTTTCCTAGCTGACAGCAAACCTTTAAAAATATTTCCCAACAAAAACTGAGAACTTGATGAACAATTTAATCAAGTCCTCCCACCAGGGAAAATAAAAATGTCAGAATGATAATTGCTTAGATGAAGAGCACAGCGTGCATGGGTGTTATGCTGAGGAACAGAAGAACAGATTGACTTAAGTCTTTCCAACCCTTCTGACTTAACTGACAAGTGGCTGTTGTTAAAAGGCAGAATATTGCTTAAGCAACACGTACTAGAAGACTAACAGGAACACAACAGCAACCTATATTCAGGTGAAAAAATACACAGCTGAATATGCACATATCAAGTCTGGTCACCAGTTTGCATAAACCTTGTAGATTCAGAAGTCAGCTGTAGGCTTTAAAATGTACTCTGCCAATATGGTAGTGATAATCAAACAAAGCTGAATTGTTTAGAACTTTTATTAAAACTTCTTCCAATATCTATTTCTTAAAAGCTTAACTTGAAGATATTTAAAGTTAAAATTTCAGGTTTTGAGTAAGTAAGAAAAGGGGCTCTTCTTTCATTGTCTTGAAAAATAGAACATTGTGCAGCTTTCTGAATTTTTATTCATTCCTCTAGAATATGGTGAATGATTTGAGTGCCACCAGTTTGCATAAACCTTGTAGATTCAGAAGTCAGCTGTAGGCTTTAAAATGTACTCTGCCAATATGGTAGTGATAATCAAACACAAAGCTGAATTGTTTAGAACTTTTATTTAAACTTCTTCCAATATCTCTTTCTTAAAAGCTTAACTTGAAGATATTTATTTTTAAAGTTAAAATTTCATGTTTTGACTAAGTAAGAAAAGGAATTCTTCTTTCATTGTCTTGAAAAATTGAACATTGTGCAGCTTTCTGTATTTTTATTCATTCCTCTAGAATCTGGTGGGTGGTTTGAGTGCTACATACAATGAAAATATGTTTTAGAAGCCAATTTCTGTATTGGGTAGCTGCTGTGCATGGTTGTATAATCTGGAGTAGTTTCTGTATTAGTGTAACATTTAAAAAAATATATAATACGTTCTCTGCTTCAAGTTAGAAATTTGCTTTTTAAATATTCAGGAAGGAGATTAAAAGTCAGTGCTGCTCAAAGATTAAATAACAGTTGAGGTCAGTATAAATGAGAAAACAGCAGTGTAGGGTTGTGGTGCATTATGTGGTGTCCTGCCCAGATCACCATCTGAACACCCAATCGACAGCCAGAGAGCAGATGATGGTGACAGTGTTTTGTTTAGTTATACAGTGTTAAGCAGGCGTAAATTTTCAGTACTGGAACTGAGATATTTAGGCCACCATTTGGTGATCTTAGTATAAAAACCAGGTTTTGATTGGTTTTTAACTCATCCTAGGGCTACAGGGGAATTACATGCTTCATAGTGGATCGCGACACGGAAGGACTCCACGTAGGGAAGAAGGAGGACAAGCTGGGGATCAGGGCATCTTCCACCTGCCCAGTGACATTTGAGAATGTTAAGGTATTGTAAGGTGTTTAGCTATATAAGTGTGATTTGTGTGTAACTTGAGCTCGACCACATCTAAGGAAAGAATAACTAAATTTCCAATTTTTTTTTTCTTATATAAAACAATTATTTGGCATATTTTAACTTTTTCCTCCCTATTCTTTCACAAAAGTCTTGAGGGGTGGGGGTTAAATCTTACTATGTTTTTTCTCAATGACCAGTTTATAATCACATGTATCAGGGAATGTTTAATCACATATTCTAGGAATCTAATGTCTGGTTCATGTTTTATCCCTTCCCTTATGAGGAGCGTTGAATAAAACACTGACTCACCTGGGAACTGCACTAGCAGTTGCAAAGCAGACTAGAACAGGAATAACTGAGTGGGTTTGTTCTTTAGGTTCCTGAGACCAATATCCTGGGAAAGGTTGGACAAGGCTATAAATATGCCATTGGAATGCTAAATACAGGCAGAATAGGTATTGCTGCACAGGT